AAAGGCTCTTTGATAACAGTTATGTTGTTCCATATGCTAAGATAGAGAAAATGAACCAAAGGGTCTTTGACATAGCGGTATTGTAGTCTTTGGCCTCCTCGAAGGTCAGGGGTTCAAACCTCACCAAAGGTAAGGAGGGCGTGTGAGTTTATTTATTGCATTTGCCGTATATAAATATTATATACTTCAAAAAAAATAAAGAAAATGAGAGAGGACGGAAATCTCCAAATTTAGATAAATCTTTAAAACTTCATGTTTAGGAAAGAGATAACATTTTATTTTTTAAGTATTAGGATAGATAAATTATATTTTAATAATATAATTAATCGTAGAATTGCTAAAATATAGTAGGTGTTGGAGTTGGATGTAAATTTTTTATAGAGATTTTAACTTTTGATACTTTATTTTTGAAAAATTATAGCATAATTGTTGGAAATGCTCTTGAAATTTGGAAATCTATGTTTAAATTTCAAGAGTTTCCTTTAAGTTTTTCCGATTTCCAGCTAGAAATTAAGGTATGGTTTTAGCTCAATTCTATAAATTAATTGTTCTGCTAAAGTCAGTTTTGAGTTTTATGTCAATTGGTTAAGTTTAATCAAGCCCAAATGTCAGCCATGACCATCGATTTCACCTAAGGGTGGTGATTTGTCTTGATCCGGTGGGGAATCCGACTCACCCAACCCGAACGGGGACGGGGATTCCCCTCTAAAACAGGTCAAGGGGCCGGGGATGTTACTTAAACCGGAGTCAGGGATTCCCGGTAGACTCAAACTAACTGATATTCTTCATGGGGTTTGATCGGAGACGTGATGTTAACCTCCGTACCTATCGAGGACTGGGCCAAGGGCTGTTACTAAAAACCAGGGCCGGGGGCTGTTACTAAAAACCAGGGTCAGGGTCGGGTATTACAAAACCCACCCCATTGCCATGCCTAATTTACCTACAACCGTTGTTTGGTGGTAATTTGCATTTCGAGTTTCCCAAAAAATCTAAGAGCATCTCCAATCGACCTGCAAAAACCTAAAATTAGTGTTTACCCTTCTCCAACCAATCCGCAAATTGGCGAAAAAATTGTCAATGGAAGAGACAGAAAGGGAATTGACCTCCAAATATGGAGGGGTACTGCTTACACGTCAAATTTCAGAAAAACCCTAGGATCCAACATATATCTCGATTTTGTTATTTATTTAATTCTTAAATGCAATCATAAAATGTAAGACATTTTTTGGGGTCCACAAATTTGAAGTATTTTTAGAGTGCGGTTGAAGCTGATTCTTTTTTTTGGGTGTTAATGAACCCATCAGATTTGATGTTTCCAGTGTCAAGGTTGGAGATGATCTGATCAGAACACGATTTTTACCAAAATTGACACTAGATATTGATGATTTCACACAAAATTGCTCATGAATTTTGGTCAAAATCAAGTGAGCTGATTTGATATCTGGTAAGAATATTATATTACATAATAAATCAATCAGATTTGTTAAGCATACCAAACCGAACATAATTTAAAACGAACCAATATTTTATTGGGAAAAAAAGTCAAATGCTATTAATAAAATTTTAATTGATTTTATGGTAGTAACATGAATAAAATATAATTCAAACATGCTATTAGGTTTAACATGTATTTTGTTATAGGTAGTTGATGGTTTTAATTGTAAAATATATTGAAGAATTAGAGTTTTTATCAAACATTTACTTAGTAAGCGTTTATCACGTTATTTATCTTACTGTATGAACATGACAATAATCAAGAATCTTACACGATAAGAGCGATGACAATGATTGGGATTTTTACCCGGTAAGTGAGAGTTACGATTCTTGTCTGATAAGTGTTTACCGGAAAAATTGTGACATAGAATGTCGTTTTGATGAACTGGAATCTTACCCTGTAAGGTAATCGAGGGCGTGGACTCTTTCTGATAAACAGTTGCAGGATAATGTTTTAGGTAAATGACTCCTTAATAACGCATCTAAATATAATCCAGTAAGGTCTCGTTTTGTTTGCAGGAATAGAATGGATTTGGGGGGATTTGAATTTCAAGTCCATTCCGATCTCATGTTTGGTTTGCAGGATTTTTAGGATTTGAAATCCTATGATTTATTTGAAATACCTCAAACATGAGATTTTGAAATCCTCAGGGTGGTTAGGATTTCTTGGGATTTCGTAGGATTTATGTACAATAATGTTTTAAAATATATTAAAAAATACTTATTTTCTAATAATTCATTAATAAAAGGGGAATTTACTTATTTTATAATAATTTATATTTTATTTTTATAAATTATTTATAAAAAATGAAATTTCATTCCAAATCCATCAAATCAAACACATCAAAGATTCTAAATCCTCAAAACCAATCCCCTAAGGGTCTGTTTGGTTTCCATGATTGTTTTTGAAGGATTTGAATTTGAAGAGATTTGGATTGAAATGGATTTAAAATCATTGGTGTTTTTGGTTTGTAGAATTTGAAATGAAATTGGATTCCATTATTTATAAAAAAATTATAAACAATTAAAAAAATAAGTAAATTACATTTTTTATTACTTGATTATTATAAATCCTCCAAATCTATTCCATTTGTGCAAACCAAACAAGATCGAAATATGTTACAACTGTAAATTTAAAGATATAAGAAAAATAAAAATATTTGGATTTTTGAGATTATGTATTAAAATGGTATAAGGAATATTTTAAAACGTTCAAACCTTGAACTCTAAACCCAAAGGTATTTTTGTCGCATTGGGAAACCATAATATTCTTCAGGCTACATTTTTAATTTCATTTTATTTCATTTTATTTTTTATTTAATTTGTTTTATAAGTTGGTCAAAAGTTTCAGTCAAGTTTGATTTTGGTCAGATACTTGTCCAACCATCGATTTTATTTGTTATGATGCAAGTCTCCATTGAATTATTGTTTCATGAATTTTATTTTAATTATTTGATTATTTAATTATTTATCAGAATCTTTTATACCATCTCCGATAGATTCTTCAAAACCAACATTTTAGAGATTTGTTTTTACTTCAACTGATTTTCTCCAAATTGTTCACCAAAATAGAGAAAGCAGAAGAGAGAAATTAGGGGTTGTTTGCAGTTGTCGAATGGTTTGATGAAAAATGATTAAGTGGTCAGAATAATTAAGAGACTCTCATGATATAGTACAAAATGATATATAATTGTTTGGTAATTGTTTGCGATGAAATTAGGGCGCTGGATGGTTAAGGGAGGCTTAAGATACAAAATCATTTAGAATATTTTAGAACTATTAAGAGACAGATTTTTTTTTTATAAAACAAGATTCACTTCTTAACAATTCAAAAAATACATGTTAATAAAACTATTAAAACAAGCCACTCTTTCAATTTCTTCAAATATAGATATGATATTGTATTATTTTCACAAATCAGATTTTTTTAATTAAATAATATTTTATTAAATGTTTAGAGTATTTTAATTGTATAATTGTTGTTATAATATGTAAAAAATAAAAAAGAATATATTGGAATTAGAATATTAATATTTTTTAAAGGATTTTTGTTTTTAAAGAAATTTGTAGAAGATGTTTGGGATGGTTTTATTAAGTTGAGAAAATGACAAATTTGGTCCTTGTGGTTTGTCTAAAATAATACTTTTGTTTCTGTAGTTTCAAAATTATAAGATAATCATTATGATTTGTAAAAATGTCTCAATTTAGTCCATCCGTTGTTCAAAATTTCGTTAAATAATGAGCATTTTTTTATCGAAATTTTTTGTCTTTTATTCAATCAAAATTCATAAGCCAAAACTCATAAAAGCGATTTTGATTGGATAAAAATAAAAAATAATCAATAAAAAGAAAAAAATGCATCTTATTTAACATAATTTTTTAACGATTGTTAGAGAAAAAACCAGGATATTTTTACAAACTCTGATGGCCATTTTGTAATTTTAAATTGTAGTGATAAAAAGGGTTACTTTCAACAAATCACAAGGACCAAATTTATAGTTTGCTCTATGAAATTATATGTTGCATTAAATGTTTTAAATAAAGATAAAAGCTTTAATTTTTAATTGGGATGACAGAAAGAGGGGTAAAGTGGTTCACCAAATCCAAATATCTCATCCTTAAATATTTGAATGTGTAAGTTGGATTTAAGATGTGTGATATTTCTTGATTGAAAGATATATAGTTGATTTGATTTAAATGCAAATTGAGTTATGATATCTTTTTTATAAAATAATGAATTTGAAAAAAAACCCCATATAATAATAATATACATATACATATACATATACATATATACTTATATAATTATTTATACACACGCTATATACATAATAATTAAAATAAAAAAATAATTGGGTCGGATTAGAAGCGGGTAATGTCATCCGCGATGCAATTTCAGGTATGAAAATAAATCTCCATTCCCTTCCTATTACCCGCCGATACCGGGGAATCCTTCTTCAATTGTTAAATTTTAGGTTGAATGTTGATGAATTTGTGGGCTAAATGTTCCTTAAATTTCACCATCAACCTAATCAATATTTAAGCAGAAAAAAATCAGATTGAAGTAAAAAAAATGAAATGGTATGTTGGGGTCAACCGGAGAATATTACAAGTGTTTTGGCCGGAGAAGAGTCAACGATTGGCAGGTTACAATTACATGGAATGTCATTATTATATTTATATATAGTTTTAGTTTTTTAATAGAAAATCAGATAAAAAATAAAAAGACGGAAATACCCATGACCTGAAACCACTTTTCTAACAGAGTTAGTTTTAGGACGAAAAGCAAAACGAAATGGAAACCGAAACAACCATAAAAGTGTAATTTTTAAAGACCAGGGACCAAGATTGTTATAAACAACAAACTACAGGGACGAAAATCATAGCTTACCCTTCATTTCATAAACCATTGTGTTTTGTGTTTTTTTTATACAAGGATAACTTCTCTAACACCCTTTAACCAACTTACCGAATGGATTGATATCTCACAACCAAACAACCTTATATGACTTACCAAATAAGCCATTAATCTCATTCAGCCATTCAAAGCCGTTACCGAACAATCCGTAAACAATCTTGTACTTTGAAATTAAACGAGCCACAATTATTCCCTTTTCTTCGGTTTTCTACAATGTCATTTGAAAGAACAATACAGCGAACCAAAACAGAACACTTCCATTTGAATGTGACGACAGATGAGAAAAGGGGAAAAACACGAAGGTTGGCCAAATTTACGCGGCGGCAGTAATGCATTCGATCGCTTGTTTGCATATTCCGGTCATGGTTGCCTCAGGCCCATACACCTGCAAAAGTATTTATAAGCAGAAATAAATTTGAGGTGGACAAAATCGACCAAAAGTCATCCAAATGGACTTCTAAAACATGCATTTTTGATTATATGACATCTAAATACATGTTCCAAAATAATATTTGAATGATCGGTTTTAATATTTCTTAGGGGCCGTTTAAGCGCTTACCAGCCAAGTCACGTTACTTTACAGAATGAATATAGCAAGGACCGAGTCTTACCCGGTTAGCACTTACCGGGTAAATTGTTGTATACGATGTCATTTTGGTGGATTAAAATCTTATCCGATAAGGTAAATGACAGTATTGAATCTTACCAGTAAGCGCTTACCGGATAAGGGTTCGCATAAACGGCCCCATAGACATTAGCTGAAGGCCAAAAATCTTCAAAAAAACTCAACGGTTTTTGCCTTGGATCTTATTTAGTGTAACCTACTTAATGTGACCAAATTTTTGAAGTTCTCTTAATGACGTGGATTCAAGTTTATTCAAAAAAAAATTTGACCATTTTGACCGGCATTATGCCAATCTTGTAACATTTAATGACGTGGATTCAAGTTTATAGTTCACTTTGCCACAACCCTTTCATACACCTTTTGTAAACGGGCATCCACATCAACAAAAATTACAAGATCAACAGGTTATCGGTCAAAATGAATACAAAATAGAAAATTTTAATTTAAAAAATCTTTGCTACCTAAATAAGAACTAAACCGAACTACATTTTTCGAAAGTATCTCGACAAATCCATCAAGATTGAGTCCCTCTTGTTTTTAGGATGTTAACGGTGAGAAATAAAGGCAGAATAAACAATATTCTTTACCTCAATCGGGATGCCTATTTCATCTCCTAGCGCACGCATCCTTGCAAGTCCTTTTTGGTAATTCGGACCTCCTCTCCGTACATAGATGTGCATATTGGCAGCTTTCAACTTAGACTCCTATAAGAAGTGTCAAAATCCGTCAATATTGTTTTTTTACCATTTGAATGAAAAACTACACATTTGATATCGATTCAATGTAAACAAGTAAAGAATTAACCTTCTCTTTCATGGCACGAATTATGCCGTTGAATGTGGCTGCAACATCAGTGAAGTTGGCAATTCCGCCTCCTACAACAAGGGCTCTCTTTTGACCATCTGGATCAGCGGTTGCGCACTGTACATAATGTTTTTATAAATATTGGATCTATAATTCTATATCACAAAGATAATTAAAAACAAAAGCCTTATTTTCAGTTTTAATCTGATTAGAAAAAAAGTGGCATATATCGGGTTTGTGTAGTTTGGTTATCTGTTCTGGAAAATGAAAATGAAACACAAAGTTCCCGAATCATCATAATCACAATCATACAATCCTGTGTATATATGCATTTTCTTTCTCTGAGGGGTTGTTGGTTGTTATTCCATTAAATCCTGTAGGAATAAAGTTGTCTGTGTGGACTAACCTGTCCGTATAGATCGTGAAGGTTTTTGTTGGGAAGGTTTTTTCATAAATGGAATGAGCATGTTTTTTAGTGGGGAGGTGCAGGTTTGGAAAAAACGTAGCTGTCTGCATAAAGCTTCCCCCTAGAAGCTTTAGTCACTTTCTATATATTAAGCCACTACCAAACAGTCGTGTATAGCTGACCGAATAAGCTACGAATCTCACTAAGTTCATTAAGCTGCTACCAAACAGGCCCTAAATGTACTCCCTCCGTTCCATAATAAGTGTCCACATTTCTATTTTAGTTTGTCTCAATGTAAGTGCCTACTTTCCAATTTTACCCTAAATTATGAGAGAGAAATCCATTACCCCTTTATCATTAATGGTAAAATTGTCATTTAGTTAATTAAAAAGATTAAGCTCATTAAGCTGCTAACAAACAGGCCCTAAATGTACTCCCTCCGTTCCATAATAAGTGTCCACATTCCTATTTTTATTTGTCTAAGAATAAGTGTCCACTTTCCAAAGTAAGTGCCTACTTCCCAATTGTACCCTTGATTACGAGATGAAAAAATCCATTACTCCCTTTATTATCAAGGGTAAAATTGTCATTTAGTTAATTAAAAAGTGTAATACTTACACGTTCCCAAAACTGTGCCTTTTTCATTGGACGGAGGGAATATTATTCAGGTTTCATGAGTAAAATTGAAGATCGAGCCACTTACATCGATGACAACTCGAGCATACTGCAAAACCTCCTCTTCATTGGGTGCACCACTGTATTCTGCATAGTTTCCGAGCTCGGAAGCAAAACCAAGATCTCCAACCTGGTTTACACGATAAATTCAAAAGTAAGAGAGCTTCGATAATCAGTTTTCTTTTCATAAATCAGATTATAAGGATCGGAAACATACCGTATCAGCATATATGACACTGGCACCTCCACCGGCAACCATGGTCCAAATTCGTCCCTTTGGATTAAGAACCGTAAACTTCAAAGATGCACTAGTCTGCAACATTTCAATATCAAATGGTTAATTTCATCATGTCAACAATGCTGCAAGAGTATAAACAGCCACTCGTTAATTCAGGTTACGCCCCATAACCTAAAGCAAGAAATCAACTTAAAACCATGGTGGAAATTATCTTTTTCATCGGCAATATGGGATTTGCCTAAGATGTTACTCCGGAATTTGTTTCAAGTGGTGGCACCATTTGCTATAAGAAACAAAGATATAGATATTTTTCATAAAATCATCATTGGTCTGTTGGTTAGTTCTTTGCTTTTCACATATGAGGTTTCGTGTTCGAATCTTTTAGTGCAAGTTCTTTCGGAAACATAATAAATCTGAAATTAAAAGCTAAAAACTAAGAAAATGACACAAACAGGATTCGAACCTGCGTCTGGGTGGGAGAAAACCCATGCAAACCAACTCTACCATGGTAACTTGTGTCATTGTTGTAGTTTCGAAATATACACGGTTGCACACAACAAAATGACATGGTGGCACATTTCATGACCTTACAAGTTTTTACACTACGATGGAGGAACGAAGTGGCGGCCCGTGCCACCATATTGTAAAGAGTGGGTCCGCCCCTGCCCCCTCCCTTTCAGGGACTCATCATGCTTGATGAGGTTTGCCCCACCCTCCGGATGGTACAACGATTGACTCTAATATCATTAATAACGTTCCCATAACCCAAAAGCATGCTGGCCCAATAACCTCTCAATTTACTTAAAAGCATGATGGAAGTTATTGTTAGCCCACAACTTTGAGCTTAGGAGCTCACAAATCTACTTTTAGATTAAACAAATTTAGAAGTGGGAAGTTTGGAAGTCCCATTCATATTCGTCTTTTGTTTGATCATCAGCAACACCCACGAGACACTTTCAGATTTATAAGATTTTAACCAAAACAACTTGAAGATGGTATTGATTAGAATAGTGCAACAAATATCAAGTATCCAAGACTCTTTATGGCTAGTAATCTGCACCTTTTCATCTAGTCCATGAATAAAGCTTTCGGTGGCACTCATTACTCTTCCGAAAGGCAATGGGAACTCAATGCTGCCCCACCTGAAACATTAGAAGTACTGTAAGATGAGACTAGAAGGCTGCTATTTGTTAATTATATGGAAACTAGAAGAATATAATCATACTTCTTGAAGTTTTTAAAGGCAGCAGTGTCATCAAGCTCTCCTCTCATATCAAGAGGATAAGGCTTTCCGTCAACCAAGGTGAAAGGGTTCATTTCAAGGAAAGTGAAGTCAAGATCTGAATACACGAAAATGAAGAGATCATTGGTCAGTTTTGACTGAAATTTACAAGATTCTTTACGTAGGTAAGTAATAAGAGCGGAGATCTTAATATATATATATATATATATATATGAATTTACCAATAAATAGAGCATATATGACTGTGATGAACTCCTCAATTACAGGTTTGATCTGCATGATTGCAGAAATAAGTATTAGAGATTCAAAATGCACAAAGACTCATGGGTGTAAATTATAATTGTGCTTTAGCTTGCTGTATAACGCTGTGCTGATCCCGAGTAATGAGAGATTTACAATAAGTTCAAGAGGTGAAGACCATTAAGTTATTACATTGAGTCGCCCCTATGCCAATTTGCAAAGAGACTGTTTCCTTTACTCGAACCTATGACCTCTACTTGCAAATGAATAACCTTAACGGTTTCTCAAGGATCGGCCTTAAACTGGACTATTTTCATGAAGTGAGCACTTTCTGGGATAGATAGACTAATAAACTCACCTCCAATGGAAGGGTCGCAACAAGTGGAGCGCATATCTCTTGATTCAAAGACACCCCAGTTGGTAAAAAAATTGTCTTGACCTGCAAACCAAAAATAATGTGAATGAAAAGTATATAAAATACTGAATGAATATATATATATATATATAAAACACCCATGAACCTTGTTCCAGTTCTCTTCAATGTCAATTCCTCCACATTCTGAAAAACTAATGCTACACCCTAGTCGCTCGGAAACAATGTTGATATAAAATTCATCGTTGTGTGGAACAAATGGTTCAACGATGAATGTGGTGATGGGTCCTTTGCATCCTCCCATCTCAACCTATAAGTGAAGACAACTTGTTAGCAAGCATAATCAAAAAGTTCGAAGATGCAAAACAAGCAAAGATTATGGCTCTTAAGTCAACACAATGGCAAACAAGATTGTTGCAAAACGGCGAACTGTCTCACTAAAATAGTTGTATTTTGTAGTATTACACTTGCAAGTGATAAATCTTGTTTGTGTTTATGAACGTATAACACAGTGGGATTGCTCTCATTTATTCACACACAAAATATACAGCCTTTGAATTGAGGAAAGAATCAACATTTGAGTATAAAATTTAAACCTCGTACTTTTTAGATTCAGCAATGATATGGATGCATGTGTGTCTATACACGAACACATGCAGATATATATAAGTTAAGTATAGTTATTACGCTTTCCTCTAAAACTACGAGAATTCACATCAACTTGAGAGTAGTTCATTTGACTATCAATAAACTAAACTTGAACTCTTTATATCAAACAATAGAGTATAACATGTACCAACAGAATACACGAGTTGTAATACAAACGACCAGAGCAGAAGTACTTACCTCTTTGCCAAGACGTGCCTTTACAAATTCAGAAACTTGGGCCAAATCGAGATTCAGGGCAACTAGGCCACTCTTACCACGCTTCCCAAACAACATATCTGGTTTTACAACCAATTTGGATGAGGAGAGCCAAGGTTCCTTCTCTATTAGATCATTCAAGTCGGTTGATTCTGTAACCTAAAGTTGCAAAAAAAAATACGCCAATCAACAATAATACCACAAAATCCTGTTTGAATCATAAAAATATAACAAATACTCCACATTCAACAATCATCAAGAGTTAAAAACACCCAGCATCATAAACAACCACCACTTATGAGATTTGAACTGCCTGTCTCAACGCCACTTAATGGGGTTGGGCCATATGGCCAAAAGACCTTTAGGCGTTGACCAAACATTAGCAGGCGACAAACAGAATTGGCTTTAGATTATGGAAATGTTAGTAATGTCAAAAAAACCACTTTGTGTCGAAGAATGATTTTCAAGGACAACCCTGTTATGCTTCATCGAGTTGTACGGCAGAATCACTTAATAGTAAGATCATAAAGCATCTGAAGGCTACTTTGAGATCAGTCCATTTAGGTGACTGGCGATATAAAATAATCAACATAATTGCTACAAGATCTACACCAGTTGACCATAAAATAGTTGATTCCCAGTAATACTATCTTGCCTATGAGTGAATAATTTATTTCATGGCTTCACAATCTTGATTTGCTAATGGCTAGTGATCTTGACAGTTAATAAATTAATGCCAAAAGATCATATGAAACCAAATAATTCCTCCATTCACTTCTATTTTGAAGACTCACATGCCATCATATCTAATAATAGTTGGCCAAAATTCTAGGGCCATAAGAAACCATGTCGTTATATACCCTTGTATACCAAAAAATGTGTTCTACCTACCAACAAATCTTTAAGCTTAAAGAGTTCAAATCCATTTCCCCGATCCCGCATTATGATAGACCTTCTACTAATTAGCCCCCAATCTTGATTTGCTAGTTTATCATATTGAGTTCACAACTCACTGAGTCACTGTCAAATGATTTTGAAATGTAAGGCTGTGGATATTTCCATGGTATCATAGCCTGGCTAATAAGCATGTTTGTGCTTGTTCATCTCGTCTTCACTTGTGTTAGCCTCAACAGTATTGAACACAGGCTACCTAATGAGCCCCCAACCTTGATTTGCTAGTGTATCATATTGAGTTTACAACTCGCTGAGTCACTGTCAAATGATTTTGAAATGTAAGGCTGTGGATATTTCCATGGTATCATAGCCTGGCTAAGAAGCATGTTCGTACATGTTCATCTCATCTTTACTTGTGTTAGCCTCAACAGTGTTCAACACAGGCTACATCTGGTAGGCTGATCGAGAGAAAGTACAGATCGGTTTAGAAACACTTCCTAGTGCAGTATATATGATCCAATGATGATGCATGGTTGCCAATTAGTTTTCAGATGGAAACAATAATAAACTTCACATCGCAAAATCTTACTGTTTGCAATTTACAAAGGGAAATCCTCTTTCTATTGAGAACAACTGAGCTAACAAGCGAATCGATTGCTATAAGAATTAGAGTAACAAATAAAATCCCACGGATCTAAACATAGAACTGAATCTCTTTACCTGTGCAGATCTAATAGCCAATTCGGAACCAGAAATCCTCTTATAATGCTCCTTCACCAGCCTCTTGGAATCATACTCTCTGATCTTCTTGCGTGCCATTATCGTTCCTTGAAATTCCTGTTCTTCCTCAAGGGAAACAACAAAATCACCACAGATCTCAACTCAGATCGCGAACTTTGATATATATAACGATCCAATCAAATCAAAAATGTGAAATTTCGGAGACTTACTGTTGTGCGGTGGCTGATGAAGATTGTGAGAGATTAGATGCGGAGTTGGTCGAGGAGATATTCACAATGTTCACTCAGGATTTATAGTTGGAGTATTTTTAAGAAAATCTCAACAACCATATGAAAAATGAGATTTTGGAGATTTGTAGTAAATTTTACTGCAAGCGTATGTTAAAATGAGAAAGGGTTTTTCTAACCCCACCCCCTCATGTGAGGGGGTGAGTATGTGAGGGTTAGAGTGAAGGAAAGTTGTGAGGGTGAGAGTGAAGGTTGGTGTGAGAAGGACGGGGTGGGGATATCAACCCCCATGAGAAAAAAGATGGAAAATTCTCAAAATTTAATTTTTTTTTTAAAACTGTTTTTTTGTTTTCTGGATAGATGTTTTAGGCTATGTATAAACTAATCTTGATAAATTATAATTGTAGAAAATTAGATATGATAATTTAGTGGCAATAATTATTGTGTACGTCTGGAATTGAACCCTAAACATATAGGATATTCTACTATATTTATCAGGATTTCAACTACTACATCACAATCTTTGTGATTTTTCTAAAGGAGAAAAAAAAATATTTCAATTAACCTTCACCGATAAAGAGTATTGGAAATAAATGTTCAAAAGAAAAACTAATATTTATATTACATTATAAAGCATTTGACAACAACTTTTAAAAACTATTTTCATGCATAAAGTAACGTATATTGATGCATATTATTTAAAATTCATGATTACAAGTAAATTATGCATAAGTACAACTTATTAAAGCTTTATGTTTGAATTCGTGTAACTACATGGGATAAACATAATCAAATAGAGGATAAACATCTCATTTTAAATATAAAAAATCTAAAATATAATTAAGATAATCATTGAGTTTTAATAAAATACTTAATTATTAACTCTATAAAATATTATTAAAAAAATAATTAAAGAAATATACAAAAAAATAGTTAGTTTGGTACCAATATCAATATTTTGTTTTCAATTTTTAATGATATATATTTATATTTATATTTTATTCAAAAATAAAAACATTATTTTTTTTAAAATCACATAAACTGTATTATAACATTGACTGAGACAAAAAAAACGAAATATTAAAATCGAGATGTATCTCGCTACATTGTGCGAGTACCCTTCTAGTTCTATTAAATGTACTCTTTATTTTATAAAATAGTTAATTGATGTACTAAGGGGCTGTTTGTTTGGCTCTTAATGGTGACATTAAGAGCCAACCTCTTAATCGATAAGAGGTCAGGGTTGTTTTAGCAACAACAAAAAAAATGGCTCTTAATGTTACATCACCCCTCTTAACCATTTTGCATATAGGGCTTCATTAAACCATTCATATTTCTATTTTTCCAACTTTGTCCTCTCTACTCTCTACCCAACGTTCATTCACACATCACCGGTCTTTAAATCGCTCCCCCCACACACAAGATCGTTGGTCTTCTTCTTCCAGCAGGTCACACGGTCGCCGTCTCCGGTCGCTGTCTCACAACGCCGTCTCGCCTTCTTCCAGCAGGTCTTCGGTCGCTTCCATCCTTTTCCTCGCAAGCTTCAGATAAACCGAGGCCATACCTTTTCTGATAACGGTTGATCGCAACAAATTCCTTCTTGGAATGTCTCCAGAAAACTGTGATGTTTTGCGTTTAGCAAAGTTTGAAGCCAAAATGGGTCGTTTGTCCATTGTTATCATAACAACGTATTTGTTTCGGTGCAGAAGATTCATCTGTTTATGTTATTATTGAAGGAAGTTTTAGATTCATGGTTAGACTTTTTCTGCAGAATGTTCGATTGCAATGTTTTGGTTGGGTTTTGTGGCTACCCATACTGCATACCGCATTGGTCCTACTGATGGAACTCACTGTATATTGATTTGTAAGAACAGTTCCAAAATGCAAATTAAGCAATAGATTTACTGCAGAGTTTTGCTGCCAAAATAGTTGTTTGTGTGGATTGTATGATGCTTGATTAGTAATCCTGCAATTGATTGTTATGTTTTTGTTTATTATGTCTCGTTGGACTAATATGAAATCTTGTTTTGAACTAATAATGTTACGTTTGTTTGGATTAATATGAAATATGTAGTTATATTTGTAATATAATTGTTTTATTCAGATATCTGCCAAACAGCTCTATTTCATTCAGTACTAAATCATTCAGAGGGTTAAAATGGTAATTTATTGTCATTCAGAAAACAATTACCAAACAACATTATTTCATTCAGCACTTAATCATTCTAACCATCTTAACTATTCTGACCTATTAACTATTCTGCACTAAATCATTCAGCAACTGCCAAAAGCCCCTAAGTATTTTAATAAACATTTAAGAGAAATTTTTTATATTTTTTTCCAAAAATTAAATATTTATATTATATTTTCCACCAATACATGTATTAAAAATAAATGGTAAAGAGAAATTAATAATATTTTACTAAACTTATTAATATTTTATTTAATATAATAAATATTTTAATAAATGTTTCAGAGAAATAAAATTATATTCATATTTTCTTTCAATTTTTTTCAAAAATATAATAATTATCTAATTATATCATATTTTTCATGGAAAAAAATAATATTTTATTTAGTGTATCGAATATTTTAATAAATACTTTATTTTTAAAAAGAAAATGTAAAATTACCAAAAAGCCCATCATTTCAAGAATCTGAAGTTAAAAGTAGGCCATAGTTCATAATAAAAATAAAACCACGATGACCATCTATGTAATTATTTTGTTTAGGCGACCCAATCCAAATTTTCATATATAAAAAAGAAATACGTAATTAACTCTTTATTATTTAAATAGCAAATTGCATGAAAAAGTAACGTACTTTAACTTGATTTCTATTTTGAGTAACGTATTTTCAAAACTTTCATTTTGGTACCTAAGATGTAAAGTTTTAAACATTTAAGTACCCAGGTAACCTAGTGAAGACTAATTTTAGACTAAAAAAAGACTAATTTTAGATTTAAAAAAATCCACGTCATTGACCAGGTCAGCAAATAATACCGAGTTGGATACCATATCACTCGACACATCAGCATGATAATCGGTTAATACTTCAACCAGTTACCCGGGTACTTAAATGTTTAAAATTTTACATCTTAGGTACCAAAATGGAAGTTTTGAAAGTACGTTACCCAAAATAGGAATCAAGTTAAAGTACATTACTTTTTCATGCAATTTGCCCTTATTTAAAAGAACACTTATTGATACATAAACATTACACACATCCTAAATCTTGTTTAAATATGAATCTCTAAATGTTACTAATCATATAAGACATTTTATTGTTGTTTCAATTTTTCTTTTTTTATTAATTTGGATATCCAACCCGCTATGCGAGCCGATTAATCCCAGGAGGTCAGGACGACCACCTGTTTTGCAGGTAGCCCGGAGTCATCGCATTTGAACCTCTATGGTCACAAGAGAATTTTTATTCCTTCTTGGATTTGAACCTGAGATCTCTAGGTACTTTTGACCTTTTGAGCTCAAACTCAAACCAATCATGCACCACTGTTGTGGTTTATCTTTTGCATTCACAGTTAGTAATACAAAAATTGATAGTAATTAGTACTTTAATTACTGTACTTCTAATTTTATTGTTTCTTATATATTTAAACAAGAAAATTGCAATGCTTCATTATTCTACTCTCTCTCAGTTCTTGTATGGAAATCATTTGGAGAAGGTAAGAGCACCTTCAAAGGTTATGTTATAGTTTTTTCTAAGATAAAGTATTAAAAGGTAAAAATTTCAAGAAAATACATTCAACTCTAACAGCTACTCTATTTTAGCAATTTTACCATTAACCATATTATTAAAATATCCAGTTTATTTAATGAAATTTTTTTTCCCTAAACATTTAATTTCAATGTCTTTTATTGGTGAGAAATAATTTCAAAGATTTCTTCAGATTTGGAGATTTATACCCTTCTCTTTTCTTTTTTATATTTTAACATAAGGTATAGCATAACTAACTATTTGAGCAAAAATATATCATAAATCTCCAGAATCTCTATTTTAGCATAGTTGTTGGAGATGCTATAAAATGACAAATAGTTTGCAACTTCTCCCATTTTGTTGCTGAAACTTGAAACTCTGCTCCCAAAATCGTTGCCTCTCCATTTTTTGTTATTGTGTCACAATTCTTATTTGAACTTGTTATTCTAATATACTATTGTATCCAAAACTTTATCTTGCAGTGTTGTAGACCATCTCCAATCACAATCTGATTGGGAATGAGACAAAAGGAGTTTAAAAAAAAAAGAAAAAAAAAGCAACCAATCTTCTCATCTAACAATCCTAAGATTGAAGCATTTTTTACTAAATAACATTGAAATGTGCCATTTGTTTATAGGTTGGTTTATTTTTTTATTTTTTAAATAATGCTATCTAATTAAAAAGTGATTTTTAACAAAAAAAAAAAAAAATATATATATATATATATATATATATATATATATCAAAATTCGTAGTTTTCAATTCCATACAAATAGAGCACACTATTGATATATTATCATACTTACTTTTGGGACTTATCTTATTTAATTTCAATTGTATGATACGTTTTTATAGTTATAATTACGTTTTAAAATATGCAATAATCCGTTTAATCTATCTTTATATTTAAAAAAATTAAAAATTATTATTATATATGATAAAAAATTATATATATAATTTTTACAAAATTATATTTTATATTGAATTAGATCACTGTTAAATGAAAAAAAGAAGTAAGATTGAGTTGAAGTTGAAGTTGAAGATTGTATAAGTGGATAAGAGATAAAATAGTATTTTATTTGGAATTTGATTGAAAGAAATTATGAGTAAATATAGTCTTGCAACTTAAACCCTTGTCTCGACAATTAGCTACAACTTAAGTCAAAGTTTTTGGGATGTTACATACTATCTTCCTCATCATTGGTGATGTTTGAACCACTGACCTCCTAAGAAACAAGAGGCTCAGATACCGCTAGACCAAAGACCCTTTGGTAACTTTCAGTGATGTTCATTTTGAAACTTGTGCTACAGAGAC